CTTTGACCCTCATCCCTACATAGAAACGCATAGAAATCAGTCCACAGGCAGCAGAGGACCAAAGCTACGCTACAACCCGTTCACTCCCTGCTGATAAACACTGATTAATATATAAAAATAATACAGAAATACTTCATAATCTAACATATGGAACCTTTAATGTGTGTTTCTCTGTTCAGGTGCGAGTCTTCACCTACCTGATCGGCAGAGAGATGACCTTCGCTCAAAACACCAAGTGGATCGCCTGCAACAACAAAGGTCAGTGGTGTGTGTGTGTGTGTGTGTGTGTGTGTCTGTATGTGTGTGTGTGTCTCTGTATGTGTGTGTCTGTGTGTGTGTGTGTGTCTCTGTATGTGTGTGTGTGTGTGTGTGTTTACCTGTGTTTCCGTGTGTTACCTCAGGTTACTACACACACATCTCCACGCTGGCCGACGTGCAGGAGAATGTCATGGAGTACCTGCACGTGCTCAGTCGACCGATGGTCATCAACCACGACCACGACATCATTTGGACGGAAGCCTACATGGACACTGTGGTGAGCCGAGCCGGCCAATCAGAGAGCTCGTGTTTAGAGCTGAGATATGATGTGTTTCACCATTTTGGGGGGGAACTTTTTCCTTTAAGTCAACATACTGTACATCATCATCATCATCATCTTCATCTTCATCATCACTTCACCTTCATCTGTCTGTCTGTGTTTCTGCTCATTCTCCCATGATCCTCTGGGCCTTTCCCTCCACATCGCTCCGGCAGCTTCCCAACACCAAGGAGGTAAAGAAGGAGAAGAAGAAGTTGTAGTTTTTAGATCAGTTCTATATAATATGTAGTTGTTGTTTTTTTTAGAATAATATTTTAATAGAAGTAGTTGTAAAAAAACATACAAACACAATGCAAATACAAATTATTATGTTTCACCCTCAAATCCTCAAAAACAGGTTAAAAATAAAATAGTAATAATTAAAATAAACATTAATGACAATAATAACTGTTATAAAATAGATTTAAATAGCTTCATGTGCCAATAAATTACTATAAATAATAAATACTTTCTATATGCTGTAAGCAGGAGCGTGTACAGAGTGTGGCCACGCCATTATCCTTCCCTCTCTTCCAGAAGCTGTAGTGGTCTCCATTTTAAAGCTGAACTAAAGATACTGATATCATATGAAAGTAGATGACCGAACACATCCGTTGGTACCAACTGTGTCGGGAAAGGAGATTAAATAACGCTTTAAATAAGGCAACAGATGGAAAAACTGGCAAGAGATCCCTTAACCTTTGACCTTGATCTGAATAAAAATAGGTTCTGTTGGTACCCACATGTCTCCCCTTTACTGACACGCCCACTTTATGCTAATCTCATACAGTTTTTTGTGAGTGTATTCAGATACTTCTGCACACTGAGGTCCAGAAACAGTGTTGGAATTATATAAATTGGCACAAACTTCATGCCACCCCTGCATGAGTCACTGCCCCTCTTGTGCCACCCCAATTAAAACAGTATACCTCTGGCTGTGTGTATAATAGTGCACAGCATCCAATTAAAGGAAAAACATTCAGTACAAATACGAGTGGTCCTAATCAGAGAGAAGCTCTGTTAGTCAAAGTAAGATAAGAAGGGTTGCAAGTAAAATTCTGGGTTGATACATAAATGTCAAAGAAAGTCTAAGAAACATCAATATGTCCTCTATCAGCGATGATGACGAAGGAGTTGCAGCGGAGAACTCAGAGCGATAATGTTGAGCTGCTTCGATGTGTCAACTAAGTCAGGGACTCCAAAAATAACTCTCCCTGCACTGGGCAGGACCTCCACCACAGACATTAATCAATAACAAAGAACCTGTATCAATATACAGCGCAATAACTAGATTAATTTGTCCCACAGAGACACTAAGATAATATATCTGACAGCTGAGGCGTCAATAAGAGAACTGATGCAGATATTTAAAATGCAAAAAGTAACTTAACACAAATAATTACTTACATATGCAGTAAACTCACATTTTATTGGCTTCACTTGCTCCCTCAGTTTAACAGGAAGAGTAAAGTTTCTGATTTTAAAAATACATTAACACACATTCATGTTATTCTCTGAGCTCCTGGAGGGACCGATTGTACTGCAGCAGTCCGTCAGCGCCACCTGGAGGTCGACCTCAGAGCTGCTGCACTTTGCATTAAGTGTCACAATAAATATTATTATCTGTGTATAGAGAAGAAAGAATATGCTTTATATTATATAGAAATATAACAAGAACACCAGGACAAAGTCAGCCTCTTTCTAAAGATATTATGATATATATATAAATACAAATGCACGTTAAAAACAATCTGCTGATGCTGTGCGCCTCCATTTACCTTTAAAAATCTCTTACTTGGTTCATCATTCATCTTTAAAAGTGTTTTATAAAAAATATGTTTTGCTGTTTCAGCTCTTCACCACCAAAGCTCAGAGTCTGCTGCTCATGACCTCGGTGGCCATGCCGGTCTTCAGCAAGAAGAAAGAGACGGTCAGTGTGTCACCTCTAAAGTACAATGTGTTTATATACATACTGTAAATACAGTATATCACATTAACTGTAACCACAAACGTTAAGAATAATGTACAATATGCACAGTGGTGGTAAAAGTAGACGCACTGATTCTTTACTAAGTAAAAGTGAAAATGTACTCTGTTCTACGTCTAAATAATTAACTGACGATTCCCTCAAATCCATTAAAACTGTAAAGTAATGAGCCTGTTTTTAAATATAAGCAGCAAAAAGTTCAGATATTTGTGTTACAATGTTGGAAGTAAAAGTAAAAAGATGTCAGAAAGATCAAAATATTACATTATTTGTTACTTCCCACCTCTGAATTTTACTGTGATTACATTTTGTGTAAACGTGTAACTAACGTAAAATGTGATTTATAATATAAATATTATAAGTGAAACGTATCTGAATGCTTCCACACAACATCACAACAACAGAACAAACAGATAGCAAACAACCTGATTTACTGACAGGAAAATAACAACCTTGTGGTTATACACTTAATAGTTCAAATTTCCAATAAATCCTAAAATCTACAGTATTTTCACTTTCATTAATTAATTAAATTCCATCTAAAACAACTTGTTACTGGCTGATATAACCATATATATTAGATTATAATGTTAATGGATTAATGGAAATATACCTGATTTGTTTTGATATATGCCTGTATTATTATTATATATTATCTATCAGCCAGTTAAAAACCCGTATCGGTCGACCACTGACCTTAATTAACAACAAACTGTGTAACAAACAGGATGTGATGGAGGGGATTTGTCTTTCGGAGTAAGTACGTTTTTTTTGGTTTGTTTTTCGGAGTAATTTTGTTCAGATTTTCTGAATATTTATTTTTTTCTGTTTTTCGGACAAATCTTTTTTCTGAGCATTTGAAACAATAGACACATTCATTCCTTTATTGAGAGCTCGATTTAACGGAAACAGACATGGCCGGCTTGTTTAGTTCAAAGTATCTTGATAATTCAGAAAAAAATTACTCCGAAAAACAGAAAAAAATTATAAAAAAAAACAGTTTTTGAGAGAGTTTTTTTTTTTCAAGTGAATGCAATACGCTTCCGTAACAGATTAACAGATTAATACTTATTATAGTGACCCTTCTTTCTGTCTCTCTCCAGCTGTCCCACGGGATCCTGCTGGGCGTGGTCGGCTCCGACGTCCCGCTGTCGGAGGTGATGAAGCTGGCTCCCAGATACATGGTGAGCTCCTGTTCACGCACAGATTTCACAATAAAAGCTTTACATTTTTTACACCCACTGAGCTCTGTGTGTGTGTTTCTTCCTCTCCTCCACAGCTGGGAGCTCACGGCTACGCCTTCCTCATCACCAACAACGGCTACATCCTGGCTCACCCTGACCTTCGACCTCTGGTGAGTCCTGTTTCACGACTGCAGAAGACAAATTTAACTGAAGAGCCGCAGCGGCTCTGATTTACTAGCTCTCTATTTAAAGTAAGAGATCCTGAAGGGTGCATTAAGGGGAGAGGTATTAAGTATTTATAAGGACAGTTGTACAGTATTTCACTACTCACACACACACACACACACACACCTACACACACACTCACAGTAACAGTGTGTCCTCTGTCCTACAGTATAAAGATGGAAAGAAACTGAAGCCGAAACCGAACTACAACAGTGTGGATCTGTCTGAGGTGGAGTGGGAGGATACAGAGGAGAAAGTAACGTTTAAATTTACTTTACAAAGACTCACCTTCATTTCCTGTTAACTCTAACCAAAACCACTGACCCCAAAAAATCTGCTTTAACATTAGTTAACTTAAGATGTGACTATATACTGTATATATGTCGCTTTTAACCTTTATCATCTTCAAACTGTAAGCTAATGTCAGCAAAATGCTAGCTCGTTAGCTTGGATATATAGTCTAATGCTTCAGATGACACAATATCAACCCGACAGACGTAGGCTCAGCCGCAGTTTGCTGGCCGTAGCCTAAAAAGTATCCTGTAGTCTGAATCTGACACAAGAGGAAGAAACTAATTTGACTTTGTGTTAAACTTGTAGCTGAGAACAGCCATGGTGAAAGGAGAGACTGGCAGCAGCAGCCTGAACATCAGAGCCTCAGTGGATAAAGGGGTGAGTCACAATATCTTAATATAACCCTACAGATTAGATTTATGTGAGTAAGTGTTTAGTTTTTACCACAAAATGTTAAAACAAAGCAGAATAACTGGAATTAAACGCAGACAGATGTGTTTATTCATTGATTTGAAGCATCGTTCTGCTTTTACCACACATGATGGAAACTACAAACTTGCAGTTTCCCTCCAGTTCAGTAGGTGGCAGTAATGCTACTGCTTATTTCCAAGCAGAAGAGGAAGAACTCTTCTCTGATTGGTCTTCATTAGGATGCCAGTTGTTGTTTTAAAATGTCAGTTTGTCTGAACACAGCTGGTTTCTGTCACATGTATGAGACTAGCTGAAGGCCTACAGAGGCGATCATAAACCGGTTCCTTTCTCCTCCAACAGAAACGACCTCTGTTCCTCGTCAACGAGTACTTCTACACAAACATCGACGAGACGCCTTTCAGGTAACTCTGCTGTTCTGAGGTTGAAGTTCCTCATAGAGGGTTTCTTTCTGGGCTTTAGAGGATCTGAAAAACAGAATTCAAACAAAAACAACATCCTGGAAAACCTGGAAATTGGAAACACTAGTTTTCCAGTCATTTTGGGGTTCATGGCTCAGTGTGAATGTTTTTGAATTGAGTTTTTAGTTTCCAGACCGGCTGACGGACGCTGAGACAGATTCTTCAGTAAACTGCAGCTCACAGCCTCCTTCTTTCAAAATTGAGTGAATTTTGAACAGACTTTGGTTTGTGACACTTACATTAACTTTTAAACAGACAGATGGAAGTGATTCAGATCTTGGAAAACCTTTAGACGCCAGTTTTCCAGTCATGGAAACACCTGGAAATTGATTAAAATGATAAAAAATCAAATCAAAAGAAAATGTGTTTTCTTTCTGGAGCATAACTCTCATAGAGGTTATACCTACATGCAAACAGTCTATTAATGCTACATTAGCTTTGCACAGTGATGCTGATGGTCTGTTTTCTGAATTTACTGTAAATGAGCTGTAGTTGCACAGAGGTTTATTTTGAAAGGTGCGGTCACTGAAAGCATTTTTTGAAAAATAAATCAAATAAATAATCTTCAGTTTAGTCCACAGTTGTGCTAACTTTGAGAAAGGTTTCTAACAATAAAAGTCGATGAGGGAAGTTGTACGTGCAGTGAACTCCTGGAACTCCTGGAACTCCTGGAAAATGCAGTGTAGATTACTATTAGATTCAAGGTTACTGTATTTGTTAAAGCATTCCTCTTGACAGAAATATAAAAACAACTCAGACAATAGACAAACATAATGCAAACGTCATAAATAATAAAGATAACAGATAAAAGTTATCAAGGATTTATTTGTCAGGACAGAAAAAACACTAAAATTAATAACTAATAGAATAAGTCAGAGATAGGTGAAGACAAGAAAAACTGCTGGAAAAAAGCTGTTTTTGTACGACTTTGTTGTTTGTTGTTTACATCTTTTGAGTTTTTATCTAAAAAGGTAAAATATTAAAGGAAGGATGTTTGTAATGTGTCAGTTTGGGTCAATAAAATAATATTTTGTATCTATTGTTGCAGATCAAATTGGGGTTCAGTGTCAGTATTGTGTATGTGTGCGCTTCGACCACCAGAGGGCAGCGTTTCACACTGTTTATTGTTAAATGCAGACGTTCGGTCTCTCCTCTGTGTCTCTGCAGCTTCGGCATGGTGCTGACGAGGGGTCCCGGAAAGCTGATGTTCATGGGGAATGTGTCTGTGGAGGAAGGTAGGATTACCCACAATCCCCTGCAGCACAGACCCCTTTAATCAACTGCTGACGATTAATCGACACCCTCGACCCAAACTTGTTTATTCGTGCACAGAAATACGAACTCACACACACGACTGTTAAACATCTCCACGGCAACACGTATAGATGTTTTGGAAAATTAATTAATTGCTATTTTCCAATGTATCTAGGCTAAATTGACACAATTTCATGATTATCTTTCCAAAATATGAGCTGGTTATTCATATTAAGTCAGGAATTTTCTGTACGTTCATTACTATATTAATCTGCTGCGGGCCT